TCTATTCTCCTCTCTGGATCTTGGGCACGCACACACACAAACAAGCACCCAGCATGAGTCTCAAACCGCTGGGTCCAGGACTCGAACCACAGTTAGCTATGCGGGAGTCCAGTGACGTAACGGCTACACCATCTGCTGGTCCCAGGTGAGCAGACTTGGAATGTTGTTTATGATAAAGTGCATTAAGAGACAAAAGCTATGTGGTTTAGCAAGATTCTAACATAGTGGGATTCAGGGTGTACCTCAGTACTCGAGGGGAGTAGTCAGATATGAAGTGTATGTTTTGAACTCCCCAAGGCATGGCCATTGATAAGGCAACTATAATTGCTTACTGCATGTGGATTTTACCTTGCTTCCAGGCCATCCTGCACGTGACTCCTGTTTTCTGAAAAGGTGACTAATCATGTTAGTCCTCTCTTCCTTTCCTCTCCCCTTATGGCAAGGAAGAGCAGGGTCCCTTGTCCTCACCGGGCAGCCTGTCACACTGGTGACGTGACGCTCAGGGCTCTGGGACCTGCTGGATGAAGGTGCCTCCTCGGGCCTCTGCGGTGAGGTGACATCTGGCTGCACCTCCCACAAGTACCTCCCCTGCTCCACCCGGGGCTTCTTTGTGGTTGTATTCCCCAGTCCTCTTTCCTAGAAGTGCAGCTAAGCAGACCCTGGCACACCTCGAGGCCCCTGCTACTTGGGAAGCCGTTCCCTGGCTGTCCCTCCAGGCTGTCCCTCCAAGCGTGCGAATTTGGTCCTGCCTCAGCTTTAAGCATGTGCTAATTTGGATGGCACTCCTTTCCTCCCCACCCCTCTAGCGTGGGGGGGAGGGGGGCACGTGTAGCTCGGCGACCTAACTGTGCCATGTCACAGACACAGTGAGATACTTAACCCGAACACCGAGGGGGCTGAGTCCGCGTTTAGGGAGACTCAGGTGGGGGGATTTCAGTGAGCCGCTGGCACTTTCTGGAATCTGCGTGGCCGCTCCGGTGGTCTTGGTATTACTTAAACCTCAGATGGGCAGGCTGCGTTTTCTGGTATGCTGGTGCTCTGAAGCTACTTGTACTTTGTTAGAGGGATGCTCTGTCTAACCCACGCTTTTCTTCCTTAAATCTGTTTCTCATTGTGATTGGAGGGGAGGTCGCAGTACTGCCCCACCCGGTTTCAGGGGAGCTGTAGTCCAGCCCGAGGATCACCCTGCAGGACCATGCTTCATGGTGGGAGGTGGGGGATGCAGTCCACAGAGGCCCCTGTGCCCCGCGTCGGGCCCCTTCTTGCAGCCTCGACTTATTTCCTTCAGAGAGGGAGATTGATTGATGGATTCTTGACGGAGTCTCGCCATGTCAGGATCCTCCTGCCCCAGCCCCCTGGCCAGCTAGGACCACAGGTGCACTCAGCTGCACCAGCCGTTTCAGCTGGGCCCTGCACTGAACCCTAGCCTCCTGTGTGGCCTCGACCTCTGAGCAGCAGCGCGTTAGCAGTGCTGGGCTGTGGCAGAGTCTGTCCCCTCCCTCCTGTGTTCTCTGCACGTGCACCTGTCGCAGATGGCTTAGGAGCCAGTGTGAGTCAGCAGTGTCTTCAGTTCGGCGGTCTTTATGGGTGTCACAGAGTAAGGAACCCAGTGCTCGAGTGCATTTTCTTTTTCTCAGTTTATTTTCTAATTCGCTATAGGGCACATGTGCTCTCTGGAGAGAGAGTGGTGAAAGAGAAAAAATGAGCACACCACAATCTCTTCTCCATTCTCCTTTTGGGATTTTGGGCATACACACACGTGCGCCCAACATGATTCTCAAGCCACTTCAGTCCAGGACTCAAACCATAAAGTGGCCATGTGGGATCCAGCACCTTAACTTTGATGCCACCTGCTGGCTCAGTTTATTCATTTATTTTATTTGCTATAGGATGCATGCACTTGCTGGAGAGACAGAGAGGGAGAAAGAGAAAAAAATGAGAAACCATGCGTCACAGGAGATGAGCACACCACAGTCCCTCCTCTTCTACTCTCCTCTCAGGATTTCAGGCATGTATACACATGTGCCAGATGTGTTTTCCAAGCTTCTGGGCCTGGGACGCAAACTATGCAGTTTGGCCGTGTAGGATCCAGCTGCCTTCACCACCACACCACCTCGCTGGCCCTGAAGTGCATTTTTAAAAAAGTTTTAATAAATTACCACTCAGGCCTTTTTTTTTTTTTTTTTTTTTTTGAATTTTTAAAATTTTGAGATAATAATAGATTCAAAAGACAGTTGTGATGCACCCCCTATGCACAGGGAGTAGGGGAGAGCTCCAGGAGCTTTCTCCATCTCCTCCAGGGCAGCACTGCAGAGCCGTAGCCCAGCGTCGGAGTTGGTGTGCATGCTGACGGAGGCGCGGCACCTGTCCAGGTATCCCTCTGGCAGCCACGCCTACTTCCCTCCTGCCCCACTGCTTCCCTGGCCTGGTCTGTTCTGAGTTTCTAGCATTCGGTCGTTTCCAGAGTGTTACATAAATGGGCTTCTACAGGATGGAACTACCTGGGCTTTCGCACAGTCTGACGGTCAGAGGGCTGTCTGGCTTGTCAGATATGTCGGCCATGCAGTCCTGGCGTTGCTGCATAGTGCATGGTGGCGTGATCTACCACAGTTTGCTTAGTTACCACTCCTTGAAGGTCGCTCCCAGGTTTGGGCTTGTATGAGTGTGGCCGCTATGAAAGCTGTGAATCGATCTTATTGGGAACGTAGGTTTCCTTTTCTCTGAGACAGACGCCCAGGAGTACAGTTGCTGCGTTGTGTGGTAGTTGCAAGCCTAGGCTTTTCGGAACTACCCAGCCATTTTCCAGAGCGTTTGTCCCATTTTACATCCTGTCAGTGATGGGTGAGTTTCTCCAAATCCTTACCAATATTTGACATTGTCACTATTTTTTTTTTTAGAGAGGTTTTTGCTGTAGGGTGTGTGCGTTCGCTAGACAGAGAGAGACAGAGAGACAGAAAGTGAGAAATCATCCCCAGGGCGGATGGCCACGTTGCAATCCCTTCTCCTCCATTCTCCTCCCAGGATCTTGGGCACACACGCACACACGCCCAGCATGAGTTTAAGCCACCGGGTCCAGGACTCGAACCGTGGTCGACTACATGGGAGTCCAGCTACATAGCTGTTGCTCTAACTCCTGGTCCCCCAGACATCATCACTATTTTTTATGTTAACCATTCTGATAGTTGCATAGTGATATCCCTTTGTGATTTGAAGTTTTTGAGTTACTTCTCCCTTTTTTGGGAGGGGCATCAGGGGGAGAGTTCAAGAAAGCCATGAGAGAGGCAGGCACCCCTGATGGGGTCCCTTTAGACTGCAGCCCCCACACGGCCTTCCAGCGCCTCTGGATTTTGGGCACACTCCTGAGCATCTTTCACTTCTGTCCTGCCCGAGCCATGGGCCTCGGTCACTGTTAGCCAGGAAGCGTCCAGCCCTACAGACTAGTAGCCTGTGGCCTGTGCCACCTCCGTGCCTGGCCCGCTGCTGTGATTCTGTTTGCAGCTCCCTGGTCACTTAGTTCTCTAGTGAGAGTCTTTTCATGTGCCTGTTTGCCATCTGTATATCCTCTCAGTGAAATGTCTGTTCCTCTCTTTTCCCATCTTCTAATTGGATTTTTAAATTTGACTATTGAGGTTTTTAAAAATTGTTGTAAAAGCTCATAACATGTTTTGAGAGTTAGAAACTGAAAAGGATTAAAATTTTTAGTTCTTTAGCAGAACAAAGGTTTTTAATTTGGATGAAGTCCATTTTATTTTTCTTTTTATGGGTTATGGTTTCGATGGCAGGTCTAAGAACTTCACCTAATAATCCTAGATTCCAAAAATGTTCTTCTAGTTTTTTTTTCTAAAAGGTTTATAGTTTTATGTTTCACACTTAAGGTCATACTCTATTTTTTTTTTTGAGAGATTTTCGCTATAGGGCGCGTGCACTCGCCAGACAGACAGAGACATAGAGACAGAAAGCGAGAAATCACCCCCCAGAGGGGATGGCCACGCTGCAATCCCTTCTCCTCCATTCTCCTCTCGGGTTCTTGGGCATGCACGCACACGCGCCCGGCGTGAGTTTTAAGCCACCGGGTCCGGGACGCGAACCACAGTCGATTATGTGGGAGTCCAGCGACATAGCCATTACGCTAACTGCTGTTTCCCTGGTCATACTCATTTTGAGTTCCTTTTTCTACAGGGTATGGGATTTAGGTAAAGGTTCATTGTTTTTCTATAGCTGGGCGGTTGTTCCAGGAGCTTTTGCTGAGAGGTGGTCCTCCCTCCATTAAGTTGCTTTGGCCTCTCAGTCAGGAATCAGTTGGGCATAGGACTAACAGGTGGCATAATAGTTACATTGCTGGACTTGCACATGGTTGACTGTGGTTTGAGTCCCAGATCCAGTGGCTTGAAACTCACGTCAGGTGCATGTGTGTGCATTCCCAAAGTCCCAAGAGGAGAATGGAGAAGGAATTGTGGCATGGCCATCCCCCTGGGGTGGGGGTTCTTAAAAAAAAAAAAAAAAAGAAAGAAAGAAAAGAAAAATCAGCTGTGCGTGTTTGGGTCAGTTCTGGATTCTGGATTCTGGATTCCGTCTCATTGACCTGTGTTTCTGCCCTCTCCCAATACCACATGGTGTTTGATTACATCGCTATATGGTAAGTTTTAGTACAGGGTTGAGTGATTCCTCCCAGTTTTTCTTTCTCAAATTTCTTTGCCTTTCCATGTGAATTTTAAAATAATCTTGTTTATAGCTACAAAAAAATCTTGCTAGGGTTTTGGTAGGAATTATGTTAAAAACGTTAAACCTATATACCCATCTGGGAATACTTGACATCTTTACTAGGTTGAGTCTTCAGAGCCGTGAACATTGACTGTCCTTTTTATTTATTTATTATTTAATGAAAGCTTTAGATGTACAGACAGAGATAGTTGAGATACAGCATTTTGACATGTGTAGAGAAGCTTTTGTTCCAGATAATCAGGTGACATACTGGCTCACTTCCTCTTTTTTTATAACAGGCCTATGAAAGGAGGTTCCCTACATGTCCTTTGATTCCGATGTTCGTGGACAGTGACACGGTGAATGAATTCAAGAGTGAAGATGGGGCTATTCATGTCATTGAAAGGCGCTGCAAACTGGATATAGACGCACCCAGACTGTTGAAGAAGGTGACTTGAAAGAATGTCTTAGAAGGCGGTCCTCCCGAGATACAGAATGAATTTACACTTCAGCTTCTACTGAAGTTGGGTGTTACTAATAAGCCTTTTTCTCTCTCCTCTCTCTTTTTTTTAAAGATTGCAGGAGTCGATTATGTTTATTTTGTCCAGAAAAACTCACTGAATTCTCGGGAGCGCACTTTGCACATTGAGGCCCATAATGAGACGTTCTCCAATAGGGTCATCATTAACGAGCACTGCTGCTACTCTGTGAGTAAGGGCCACCTGCTGGAAGGCGGCGGGAGCCTGCTGACTAGCCTCCAAGGACTGTCTGTCGTAGTTTAAACAGCGTACCTCTTTGTGTTCGGGGCTTCTTCAGTAGACGCTGTTGCTCATTTCCGACCAGTGAGGTCAGTGGGTAGCAGGTGTGGTTTACTGCAGAATGGATTACACTGTCGTGGCAGTTAAGGCAGCCAACTGGAGCCTTGATTTGTTTTTAAATATTTAACATGCCACTTCTTTTCTGGTCCCACTCTAATACTTTCCAAATACACGCTGAAGGGCTAAGTTATTGTGTGCCTTTAAGATTAGAGCTGCGAGCACTTGTCTACCGTTTTCACTGCTCACCACCTGTTTCAAGAACCTCTGCTGCCAGAGTATTAGAATAACTGCCGCCTCCGTCTCTGCTTCTGCCTTGATCCTCCTCCAACACCGAATCCAGAGTGATCTGTTTAAAGTACTTCGGATCATGTCACTTCTCTGGGCTTCAGAGCCCTGCAGTTTCTTCACGTTTTGCTCAGAGAAAAAGCCCAGGGTCTGTAAGTGGCACACAGGCCCTGCGCCCTCTCCTGTCCCATTTCCACCGTCTGTCCTTTTCCTCCTTTGTCGTGCACCTCCCTCCTGACTGCCTCGCTGCTGTCCGACGAAGCAGGCTCCCAGGGACTCTGGCTCTGGTGCTCGCTCTGCCAAGCAGGTCTTCCCTCACTCCCTCACCTCCTGCAGTCTTTGCTCAGATCTCCCCTTCTCAAACAGGCCAGCCGTCAGCACCCTATTTAATTCTGCAGCCCTCTGCCCATCCCCACCCCAGTCCTTTCAACCTTGTTCCAACTTTCTTCCCAGTAGCACTCACCTCCCAACAGCTATGTCATTTTCTTAACTCTTCCGTCATGACTGTCTTCCTTTGTCCTCTGTCAGACTCTTAAGTGGCACAAGGCAGAGGTCTTTGCTGTGCACATAAAGGAGAACGCCACAGTTCTGTTTAAAACAGTCAGATCCGTTTGTCCTATTGCGTATTTTTATGTTGTTGAAGGAATGAATGAAATGAAACTCTCCTTTTGTAGTCATTTTTAGACTCTTGGAAATATTATTTGTACCTTTTAATGCATTCGAGCTGCTCTGTACTTGACGTCTGCTGTTTTTTGTGACAGTAACATTCTTAAGAAAAGAAGTGTTTATCCTGGCTCCCAGTAGCTGAGGAGCAGACAGGTGATGTTCTCACTGTCAGTTACGGGAATGCCCTCTCTATCTGCAGGTTCACCCTGAAAATGAAGATTGGACCTGTTTTGAACAGTCTGCGAGTTTAGATATTAAATCTTTCTTTGGTTTTGAAAGTACAGTGGAAAAAATTGCAATGAAACAATATACCAGCAACATTAAAAAAGTGAGTGTCTCTTGCAGTTTTATGGAAAAGGGCAGGCCGGAGCCTCTGAGGCAATCTGAGTGGACAGTCTCTTTGGATGACTGAGAAGGGTCTAGTCAGGGATCCCCGCCCCCAGCCCCATGCCTTCTGCTGGCCACAGTGTCACCTGCCTGGGATCGCGTAGAGCGGGAGGAGGGCCGAGGCAGCCGCAGCGGGGCTCCACCTGGGGTCTGCTGGCGGAGGTACCATGTACTGGCGAGATTCTGATCAGGTGGACTTGCAGGGGTCCTCGGGCTGGAACTGTGAGGCTCATCTTCATGGAGGACTCCCTTCTCACTTGTGTGCTGTGGCTCTTCAGCTGTAAGGATCTGTGTTTTGAAGCGTAGCAGTATAGGATTGTGTTGTGCTTTTGGAAGGCTCGTCTCATTTTCAGGGTACTGCATGGGAAGGGTTTGCATTGAAGCACCCAGTGAGTACAAGTATGGTCAGTCAGTGTTTTAAATTAATCCAGTAGAAATTCCATCTCTTAAGAAATTGTTTTCTAAACCTTTAGAGAAGAGGGAGTAAAATAATTAAGAAAAAAGAAAAAAAGGGCACTTGGCTTTCTCCTTACTTATGCTGCCCCAGTCCATTTTACTCGTGTTCTAAAGACACGTGAGTTGAGCTGGCTCCACGGCACAGGTGCTGTGCTGCTCAGAGGGAGCCGCAGCCACGTACCAGCCATGTGGCAACCGAAGTTTGAACCCCTGGTTTGGTCAGACTGAAACACCCGACGTGTGCAGGTGCCCAGGGTCTAGTGGGCTGGAGGACTGGAGGGGTGGCTGGATCCATCTCCACCCGCACCACATACATTCACTCGAACTCCATCTTAAAGAACAAACCGACCCACGGGGGGTGACTCCTCTGAATGTTGGAAATACACTCACCTTAAAATTGTCTTCGTTGTAAAGGGAAAAGAAATCATCGAGTACTACCTTCGCCAGCTAGAAGAGGAAGGCATTACCTTCGTGCCCCGCTGGACCCCGCCTTCCACGGCACCCTCTTCAGAGACGTTTTCGTCCTGTAAGAAGCAGGCAGAGTCCGTGGCGGCTGCTGTCCCTGATGCTACCCTCAAGGAAGGGCTGAGCAGCGAGGCCCTGAGTAACCCCAGTGGGGCGCCGGAGCCCGCGGTGGGCACCCCTGACGGTAGGTCTGGAGGGCGCTTCACCCTTACGCGAGCCCGGGGATCTGTGGAGTCTCCCCTCGGACTGCCTGCTTCTCCTCGTGTCCTTAGGGTGGCAGGTCCGACACAGCGACCAGCCCACCCCTGTGGCCGGCTTTTGTCCTCAAGCTTATAAGATGTTGATTTTTTCCTCACAGTTCTTATTTTTATAGGCCAGAGAGTTAGATCAGGTTATTCTTTTATAGAGGCCAGAAAATATTTTTCATTTATATGAGCCAAAGGTCCCTTTAGTGCACCTGAGATAACGCTGACCCTTCAGCCCAGCCTTTTGTCGTCGGCACACACTTGGTGCTCACCACGTGCCACGTGCTGTCCTGTGCGCTTGGCAGTCGCTGTTTCAGAATGTAAGGTTCCTTTTAGGTGGGAGGTGCTTGCCTGCTTCGTTGCTCTTACCGATGTCCTGCTATGAATGGCTGGAAGGAGGCACAGGGGAGCTGAGTAACTCACCTTGAGTCACCTCTGTAAGTGGCAGGGCTCGGGCTGAGCCCGGGGAGCTGGCTGCAGAGCCTGCTTAGCTGCGGTGTTGCTTTGCGTGTGTAGACCACACACCTGCACACAGCTGCTCTGGTATTACAGAGTAACACTCATCTCAGAGAGTTCTGGAAACATGGAAACAAGACAGCTCTGCCACTCAGAAACTCTGTTAAAGCGTTGGAATTCTCCCTTCCATACATTCTCTGCAGCTAGGCTGTGCTGTTGGTTAGCTTTCGGGGGCAACAGGCTCGGGTGGGTGCAGGTGGTTTAGGGGTACGTGGGGTCTTTCATCTCATCTGTTTCTTTGTTTTATTTTGCTGTTTTGTTCTTCCACTCGATTGTTATGAGGAATACTTGTCATATTCTTCAATGCAGTATTGAAAAATCTATATTTAAAATAGATTTTATTTTCATGTCACATAGGGTCTCTATATAACTTTGGGCTGCCCCCTAACCCAGTGTTTAAGGGGTGCTGGATTCCACACAGCAGACTGTGTAAGTCCCAGCCTTGATGGCTTGAAATAACATGCCAGGTACAGGCGTGTGGGTTCAGAATCCCAACAAGATGGATACATGGGAAAGAGACTGCAGCGTGGCCAGGCCCCATCGGGTAGTGCTTTCTCCCTCTCCCTCTCCGTCCCTCTGGTAAACACACACGCTCTGGCAATTAAACAAACCAAGGTAGTCATTAATTATCCTTTACACCCTGCGTTCTATCGTGACTGTATTGAGATTTGGCAAGTAGAGGCAACTTAGTGGTAACTCTGACTCAGCTTCCCTGTGGAATCTTCCCCCGGTAGAGATTTGGTCCTAAAGATGGTCACCAGGTTCCCCAGGGTGACTGGTTAAGTCGGCCATCTCTGTGGTTCCTGTCTCCTATGGGACTCCAGGCCCACAAGCCTCATGCTCTGGTGTCTGTGGCTGTAACGAGGCCCTGTTACTTCCATTGCAGACAAACTCGATGCAGACTACATCAAGAGGTACCTGGGCGACCTGACTCCACTGCAGGAGAGCTGCCTCATCCGACTGCGCCAGTGGCTCCAGGAAACCCACAAGGGCAAAGTGAGCACAGCTACGGGAAGCCCCACTCCTGGTCCCGAGAGTAAACCCTCCCACCACCGTGTGCGGCTGCTTCTGTCTGTGCCCAGTCACTGGGTCTCTGGCTCTGTATGCAGCATCTGAGAGCTCGTGGCAGGCCAGGTGCCTCCCGTGTATAAGCAGTGGTTTCTCCAGGCTTCACCAGGAAGGAGCTGCTGAAGCCCAGTTAAATGCCACGTCACAGAGCGCACTGTGTTCCGGATGGTCATACATTTTCATTTTCAGGTTTGACGGGATTTCAGCGATTAATCAGAGATTAGATACATTTGAGCCTAGACCAGTAGGTGGTGTGGTGGTTAAGGTACTAGACTTTCACATAACTGACCCTGGTTCAAGTCCCAGATCTGGAGGTTTGGCAATCATGCCAGGCACGTGTGCACATGTACCCACAATCCCAGGAAGAAAAGAGAGGAGAAGAGGTTGTGACATGGCCATTCCCCCGGGAGGCGATTGCTCACTCTCCTCTCTCCATCTCTCTCTAGTGAGTGCATGTGCCTTCTGGAAAAAACCTAAAAAAGAAAAGAAAAATTTAAGCTTTCATTTTGAAGTTGTTGGTGAATTTTAGCCCCATAAAGAACCAAGGTTTTGGTTTCCCCAGCTCACGAGCAGCGTGTGCTCCATCATGCCTTGGGCCAGCTGCCCACGTTCGTACCATGTGTCATGGAGGGAGGAGCTCCTGGGCCCAGCCACCACTCAGGACTGGTCTCGGCCTCGTTCTTAGAGGGGGCATCTAGAGAAGGTCCTGGATGCAGCCACACACAGGCTGCCGAGCCCAGCAGGTGGGAGTCTAACCCTGACGCGTGACACACACACAGGAGAACACGCAGCGTAGTTAACACCCAGGTTAGCACATCGGGTCGGAGCGCTGACGCTGACGAAATTCGAATTGTGCTTCACTTTGCTGAAATGAAATGGAATACCATGAAGAGTACTAAAGCTAATATTGCTGGCTTTCTAAAGCACGAAGAGTCTTCTGGTAACGGGTCATGTTAAACAGCGTAATAGCGCAGCTCACTGTTGATAAGTGGGAGCTTCAGAGTCGTGTTCCTTTAGCAACCTGGTGTTTTCCCTTAGCAACTTTTCCCATTGCTTAGAGACATCTTTTCTCTTAACAGATCCCCAAAGATGAACATATTCTCCGGTTCTTACGTGCTCGGGATTTCAACATCGACAAGGCCCGAGAGGTCATGTGCCAGTCCCTGACGTGGCGGAAGCAGCACCAGGTCGACTACCTCCTGGACACCTGGAGCCCTCCTCAGGTCCTGCAGGATTACTACGCAGGAGGCTGGCACCATCACGACAAAGGTGGGCTTGCAACCTCCCGGCGTCTGGCCTCCAAGGCTCCCTGGAGGCCTTCCAGAGAGTCGAGTGGGCCCGGCCAGCACATTGTCCTCCAACTCTGAGGCTACGAAGCTCTCTCCCACGAGGGCAGACAGTCCGTGTCATCACAGACGCCCCGCCCCAACCTGGGGCTCCTTCCTCCTGGCTCCCATCACCCTGGCCGTGAGTGCCTATCCTCCAGCGCAGTGCTCAGGGTGGCACTCTCCGTGACACCAGCCCCTCAGGAGCTGTGAAACGCCCAGCCAGGCTTTCCACAGCACTACGGTACAGCGCTTCCGTGCTGCTCCGGGGAGTAAGCTAAGTGTCGGTCAGTGGCAGTGGTACCCCTGAAAGGGGGCTTCAGTGACAGATTCAAAGCACAGTCCGTTCCAAGTGCTCCGTGTGGCACACGGCGCAGGGGGACCTGCCTCCGACTCCCACCCCAAGTCCGTAGTCGGACGGGGTGGGTCAGAGACACCACGGGGAAGCCGCGAGGACCTCGGGCTGACTCCCTCTTCAGCCTCTTGCCAGGTCGCTGAGAACTGAGCCCCCATCTTCATTTTTCTGACTTAACCCTTTGTATCTCTCCAGGTTCATTGTACCTTGGTTTCTTTCACTGTGAGCATATAATATTTATGCTCACTCTACTTTGTGAGCCAAACATTAAAGGTTAAAAAGTTTGGTAGTAAGACATTGTCATAAAATGTTGGCAGAAATTTTTTGTGAATTTGCTTTTGAACAAGATGTGGGGGCACAAAAAGCATTTTGCCTTATGTAGGATAGATTCCCCTAAGAGGTGGTGCTCACCAGGTATAGGAACTACAAGGCAAGTGTTGGACCCCCCATATCAGGGTGCTGCCCTGGCCCTCCATTCACAATGGAGGACCACTGCTCCAGACCCCGCTAAGCCACTCTCTGGGCTGGCTTTTCTTCTGTGCACTTCGATTTCTTGGGGAAACAGAAACCATTCGCTGCTCCACGGTGGGAGAGACCTGCTCCCCCAGAGCACAGAAGAGCCCACTGCTCCTGCAGGGCATCCTCGCTGCACAGAGGATGGTGCTGCTGACCCTCTGCTCCCTCTCCTGCAGACGGGCGGCCTTTGTACGTGCTCCGGCTGGGGCAGATGGACACCAAAGGCCTGGTGAGGGCCCTCGGCGAGGAGGCCCTGCTGAGATACGTAAGTGCCTGCGGCGGGGCACTGGGCTGGCTCCTTTGGCTTCTTATTTTCTCTGCCAGCTGTCCTAGGATGTCACTGACCTCCTACAGTGAGCACGGATTGCTTTCCTAGGTAGAGAGTATTTATATTTCGCACAAGGACATAGAACTTACAGGACGTCTTTCACAGTGGAAGCCTCAGGGAGATAGGCAGTAAGTCTGGAGAGATGCCCACTGAGGGGCAGAGCAGAGCTTCTCTCTACCTGCACTGCCAGGTTGGATGGGCGCCAGCCTCCCTTAGACGTGCTCAGTTCAGACCCTTCACGGCGTCCGTCCTTCCGGCTGGCACTTCCCTGTCGCAGGCTCTCAGCATCTGTGCTCTGGACTGTTGTCTGCGCCGCTGGGCTACCGTCCTGACCCCAGCCCTTCCTCCACCATGTCCACCCATGTTGGCAGCTCTGCTCCGCCTACCCCCCCGGGCAGAATATGGGCCTTGAGTTGAGAAAAACAAGAACTTAAAAAGGCACATTACAGCCTCACTGTCCTAAATGCACTGTTGGCGTTCATGGGTCAGGTAGCACCTGCCCTGCCCCACGTTAGTGTGTGCATGCCCACACGCCCACATGTGTACACGGGCACATGCAGACACGGGTGGGTGCCTCTGTCAGGGAAGGAGGGTGGCTTGATGCAGGAAGGGCTCCTGAGCCATGCGTGGCGTCTGTTGAGGTGGGCCTTTGGGGTTGGAAGCCACGTGCTGCTGATGCTGGTCTCCTGCCCAGATGTGCCTGCCCCATGTCCCCATGTCAGGTCCTCCCTGCAGATCGCTCACCCCCGAGCAGTGGTTTCACTTGGGATGACTATCACCTTTACTAGTGACAGCGTGTGCTCTCTGCTTAGCTTGTGTGCATGTGTCAGAAAATCTGGACAGGTGACCGTTTTGGTTTATGTGCTTGCTTGTCACCTGCCGTGTTAATGTCACTCTTTCGCCCTGGTGGGGCAGTCAGGGTGAAGTATGGCCCTCCTGTGCACAGGTTCTCTCCATAAACGAAGAGGGGCTGAGGCGGTGTGAAGAAAATACAAAGGTCTTCGGTCGGCCTATCAGGTAGGCGCGGGGTTCCGTCTTTCCCGTCCACTTGCTTATTTTTGGTGTGCGAGAGGTGCGTGTGCTTGCCTGCTGGAGGGAGTGTGGTCAGCACGGGGAGGCTGACTGAGAGAGCCCCTCCCATGGGGAATGGCCGTGCCACAATCCCTTTTCCACTTTTCTCCTTTCTTCTGGGATTTTGGGCCTGTATGCACACATGCTTATTGTGTTTGTCAGGCCACTGGGTCCAGGACTTGAACCATGCGGTCAGCCATGTGGGATCCAGCTGCCTTAACTTCCAGGTCATAGCTGGCCCCCTTATAATTTATTGTGAATACGGACTAAATATTTCTAGTTGATTGACAGAACCAGAATCTTGTAGTGCACTGTCCTAGGGTGACTGGAAAGTAGAAAACAAGCGTGCCCAGTGGTCGGGTGTGAGAGCAGCGCTGGGATTCAGTACTCCATGGCCTGCTAGGGCCTGCTGTCATGCCAGTCTAAGCGGTTGCCTGTCTGGATCATCTGGCTGCGCCTCGGGAGCCCAGGCTGGCTTGTTTGCAAATACCCTGTGTATTTGGCCCACGCTGCTACTGACCTAGTGACGCTTGGCATTGGGAAGGGCATAGACAGTTCACCTGAACGTGGGTCCACGGGGCAGGGTTATGAGGGGTTTTGTTCACTGCTCCTGACACAGTGTTTGATTTGATAAGAGCTTGTCGAAGAGTAGCAGATTGCAGTTCAAACACAGTGCCTGTCAGAATGCCAGGTGTGTGCCCTGTGGATAGTGGTGGGCGGAAGCGACTGCAGGTGGCCGTGCATGCGAGAACGCTGCGTGTGTCCAAGAGAGGTCTTGTCTGTGCTCAGTTCACCATCATTCGCTTTGCTGTTTCCTGGATCGGTCCTACTGCACGAATCCTGTATTTATACAGATAGGTGTAAACGTAGCTCAGAGCATTGTAACTTTTTTTTTTTTTCGAGAGAGGTTTTTGCTATAGGGCGCATGCGCTTGCCAGAAAGACAGAGAGAGTCAGAGAAATAGAAAGCAAGAAATCACCCCCCAGGGGGGATGGCCACGCTGCAATCCCTTCTCCTCCATTCTCCTCTTGGGATCTTGGGCACTCATGCACACGTGCCCGGTGTGAGTTTAAGCCACCGGGTCCGGGACTTGAACCACAGTCAGCTGCATTGGAGCTCAGTGACATAGCCATTACACTAACTGCTGGTCCCCATAGCATTGTAACTTTTAAAAGCTGACATGTATTTGGAAATGGCTGTAAGTGGCAGTTGTCTGATACCAAAAAGAAAAGTAGAACACGGTTTGCTAACTGTGCCATCTACTGAGTAGAACCTTCTTTGCACATCCTGCAGTTCCTGGACCTGCCTGGTGGACCTAGAAGGGCTGAACATGCGCCACCTCTGGAGACCTGGTGTCAAAGCCCTGCTGAGGATCATCGAGGTGGTGGAGGCCAATTACCCGGAGACGCTGGGCCGCCTGCTTATCCTGCGGGCGCCCAGGGTGTTTCCTGTCCTCTGGACACTGGTGGGTTTAGAGCTGTTTTGCAGTAACTGGTGGCCATTTGAAAAGCAGATAAGCATACATTCATATAACTTCTCTGTGACCTTAAGTCTTAACTCGTTGGACAAAGCAAAATAAACATGCAAAGATGAAACATCTCTCAAATGGCCTAAAGAGTCAAAAAGCAAGCTTTTTCTGCATGTCCTCATGTCATGATACTAGACTCTCCAGAAAAGTATATCAGACTCAAATTCTTTCCTCTCCCCTCACCCCACCCCACTCCTATCACATCATAATGTTAGCCTTTGACGATCAGACAGCAAAGCAGACATGACACCTGGTCTTTCTCATCACTTCCAGGTTAGTCCATTCATTGATGACAACACCAGAAGGAAGTTCCTCATTTATGCAGGAAATGACTACCAGGGGCCTGGAGGCCTGCTGGATTACATCGACAAAGAGATTATTCCAGATTTCCTGAGTGGGGAGTGCATGGTATGCATTTGGCAAGCACACTGGCTGCTGTTAAGGGCAGACGAGATGGGCATTGGTTGTGCAGATGGTTTTCAGAACTCAGTCTGGATTGTCTATTTCTGGGTCTGGATTGTATATTTCTGGTTTTTTTTGGTTTTGGTTTTGGTTTTGGTTTTGCTTTTCATCTCTCTGGTCCAGGGTTAAGCTGAAGAGAACCATTTGGGTCACTGTTGATAATGCACATTTTTTTTCATTGTTAAATATTAATGAGAGTTTGTTTTAGATTCCAGTATAATTGCAGTTTGTTTGATTTACACAGCTTTGTGTGAATCAGCTCTTTTAGAGAAGCTGTGCATTTATAAAAATTACTAGTAAAAAACTGAATCAGTTCTCTACATTTCTCCCTTTACGGTAAATAAATCATGTTAGCATCCCCCTGCCCAGAGATTTTTGCTTTAGGGCATGTGCACCCACCGGAGAGACAGAATGCAAGAGGCCATCCCCGGGGAGATAGCCACGTTGCAGTCCCTTCTCCGTTCTCTCAGGACTTTGGGCACGCGCATCCACACACACCTGGCGTGAGGTTCAAGCCACTGGGTCCAGGACTTGAACCACAGTCAGCCATGTGAAAGACATAACCATTACACCATTTGTTGGTCCCTCATGTTAGCATTTTTAAAGTGGGAAAATTAAAAGAGCTAATTCTTTTAAATTCAAGTTTGGAGTTTTTAATACATTGAGCTGCTCGATCATCAGGCAAAGGGCTGCACATCTGTAGCTGTGGCGGAGGAGTCTGAGAAGCTTGGCACCCACAGCCCAGGGCGCACGGTTGCCAAATGCAGGAGTTAAGGACGCCTGCAGAGGGCCGGTGGCTTGCTCACAGCCAGGGAGGTAGCTGAAGCCAGCGGGGAATCAGCGTTCTCAGAGAAGGGCTCCCAAGTGACTCTTCACACCACTGTCACCCTTCTGTGAAGTGTACACGTGAGGTCTGACGCACATACTTAGCTAATGAACTGGGCTTTGAGGGTAGTCCCTCTGAATAGCTAGAAGAATCTCAGTTCATCAGCTCTGCTTTAAGGAATGTGTAGGCTTAATCCCTGTACAATGCAAAGAGCAGGTAAATCATAGAACCCTAATGTTACCAGGTGCCCGTGAGGCTGAACCGTGGGGTCAGGTTCATAAGAACCCATGGGCACTTTCCTTACATGAGCGCACGGTCCCATCGTGTGGCTCCTTATGGTCGTGCCTACCAGAATTGAGCTGGAACGAGACACCTGACTCCTGGCAAAAGGACGCCCATGTCTGTCACACACTGCCTTGAGGTGTTATAACGTAAAGTGTTCACAGGTAGTTGAGCTGTCCAAACTTGGGCCTTGTAAAACCTCATGACTCTTCTGTGCTGGCTCGTGTTCAGTTTAGGCTCGTGGTTGGAGGGGGGCCATTCCCTTCTGCTTTGCTGTGGCTGCAGTTTTGTTTTGTTTTTTTAGGTTTTTGCCATAGGGCATGTGCTCTTGCTGGAGAGAGGCAGAGGAAGGGGAAGTGAGAAATCACTCCCCAGCGAGATGGCCACGCCCGCAATCCTTTTTCCTCCATCTTCTCCATTTTCCTCCTGGGATTTTTGGGCACGCACACACCCAGCATGAGTTTCAAACCACTGGGTCCAGGACTTGAGCCGCAGTAAGCCATGTGAGAGTCAGGCAGCTTAGCCACCATGCTACCCGCAGGCCCCCGGGGAGTTCTGACCACCGGTTGGCCTGGCACTCCCCCAGCACGTCTCTGCCGTGACGTTTCCCATCCGCGCTCGGCACACACAAGACTGTTGCGTTGGTGTTCTGTGTGGTTTTGCCCCAGGGCTGGCATTACAAGGAGTTCTTGGATTTATGAACTTCAGTGTGAAGGCACTGTGTCAAGGTCAGTTAGGAAATGTACCATATGTACGGATTCCGGTTCAGCTTCACTAGTTTCAGCTAACTCCAGGTAAGCTCTCAGGGCTGTGTTGCATGGCTTCCATGTCTGTGTCTGCATTTCTAGTGTGAAGTGCCCGAGGGCGGTCTGGTTCCCAAGTCTCTGTACAGGACTGCGGAGGAGCTGGAAAACGAAGACCTCAAGCTCTGGACCGAGACCATCTACCAGTCTGCCAGTGTTTTCAAGGGCGCCCCACACGAGGTACTTCTCTGCCATGGTCTTCCCCTGCAGGACAAGCAGCCTTCGGAGACCTGCTAGCCGATGGTGTGGAGGGCAGTCAGGGATTTTCTGGCCTTTGTCTTCAGGGTTTTGTTGACACTTGATACTGTCAGCCTAAAAGAACAGGTCTCTCTCAGAACAGAAGTTCACTGGGCTTTGCCAAGCCACCGTGCTTGCCTGGGACCCAGACCAGCTGGAGCAGGTCACGGTGTGAGGACCCTGTGGGGTACCTATTTCTTCTCTCTCTCTCTCTCTCTCTCTCTCTGAATAAATACCAATAATAACGTAAGAACAGTGATAGTTTTGAGAAGAGGAAGTCCCACTGCGCAGTCAGAGTGTTGCAGAGGAGGTGTGGCCCCAGCCTGTGGCTGCTGGGGCCTTCACACAGGGCCGGTAGCCTGCCTTCCCTTGTGCAGGGAGATTCTTTTTGTAAAGAATTTAGTTGTATTTATTATTACTATTACTGTTATTTTAATTTGCCGTAGGGCACATGCACTCACTAGAGAGAGAGAAATAAGCCACCAGGTTCAGGACCTGAGCTGTGGTCAGCCACACAGGAATCTAGCACCTTAACTACTTACAACTACTGCAGGAGAATTTTTTTTTAATTTCGGAATTTAGTTTATTTAATGGTTATGTCAAACAAGTTCTGCTTGCTATTTTTCTTGACTGGGTTTTGGTTATTTATGTTGTTTAAGGAATTTGCCTAGTTGGCATCTTGTGGCATAAGGAGGAACTAGCACAGCCCCTCCCTCTTCCAGTGCACTGGGATCCGGGAGGCAGTGCCCCTGGGTTTTCCACAGGGCATGCTCTGTCCCGTGACACCGAGTGGCCTGAGGCAGTAGGACCGAGCGGACTCGCAAGCTGGAGCACCGTAGGGGGACTGGCAGTTGAGGCTGACCTGCTGGCTCAGGTGGTGCCAGTGGTGGGAG